GATCAGATCGAGCACTGATGTTTTTATCTATATCTCTTTGCGAGATTTTCTGTCGGTGCGGACGTTCAAATTGCCCATTACAAAGCTAATAAAGGACGTAACATCACAAAAATAAATTCTTGTGTTTTCTACAATGATGTTGCGGCTATTTAAACAAGGTACAAGCCGACATACACAGGACACACACACACACACACACACACACACACACACACACACATACAGACACACATACACACACGGGCGCCTGCGCGCACACACAACACACACTCACACACACGCACACTCACGCGCACACACGCATACGCACACACTAACGCGCACACACACACACACACACACACACACATACACACACACACACACACTCACACACACTCACACACACCTACACACACAGTATATATAATATATAATAGATCTATAAATGTACGGCATCGTGGTGAAATTAGGCGCATAAGAATAATTAAATAAAAGATATCGACATTTATTTTGGCCGATGGGCAATTTTGTTTCTAATTTTATTTTATTTTTATTTTAGCTCAACACCTTTAACGTCCATTTAAAGACACTTTTTTGTGGACTTTACTGGGAAAAAAACATTGATTAAAGGCACAGAAAATGTAAGTTTTCGGTTTTCAAGGATTTTCAGTCGATGGAAGATACAAAACTTTTGCGGTCATTTTCTGGCTCGTTTGAACTCTGAAACCCAACGACCCTGACCTCCTTCAATCACAAATATTTCAACTTCTAATACTATTCTATTCATTATAGATGGATGTTTTTTTCACCAAAAGGAAGGCAAATGAACAGGCTTTAAGACTATACCATCGTACCAATAACCTCATAGGTTCAAAATTTTACGAGCGCCTGATTCCACCACGTCGTGACACATTATATCGACTACATAGGGTAGGACTCAGCCATACATTTTGAAAAGTGACGTATGACGAAGCCTTACATTGAGTAATATAGATACCGGAAACGAGGGTATATCAAACTACTATCTCTCTCTCTCTCTCTCTCTCTCTCTCTCTCTCTCTCTCTCTCTCTCTCTCTCTCTCTCTCTCTCTCTCTCCTTTGTTTGGTTTGTAGCCATCTCTATCTCTCCTCTAATCTATCTATTTATCTATCACACACACACAAGGAGACAGACAGACAGACAAACACACAGACAGACAGACACTCGGTAGTAACAGGGTAACGGTTTACCTGAGACACGTTAAACAATGCTTTTACGTTGGTGTTGAAGACTCTGAGGAAGAAGAAATAGACAACATAAATGGGGCTTTTCTTCCTTGTTTGCTTCCCTATGGGGTTTTCTTTCTGTCTTGTCATTTATAGCCTATCTGTAGTTGAACTAGCATAAATCCGTAGCATTTCATTATAGCTCAATATTAAACTTTCGAGAATGCAAAATTTTATTTCGCTATGTATCTCTTTAGAGTATTTAGTGATAGCAAACCCCTGAAGCAAGACTATAGCCTAAAACAAAATACAGGCTCGTTATAAAAAGAGGCGTTTTGACAGACAAATAAAACGGGGTTTTTTTTAATCTATAATGATCCAAAGAGATGATGATTTCTTTTTTATTGAGTGAAAAGTTTAAACTCTAAATCACATAAACGTATGCTTTTGACGTACACGGGCAAATAAGTTACGTGGTTTATAATATAAAAGCAGACGTAATGCAAAAAAGGTGTGTGTACGAACATGTTTAATAAACTTTGTATTAGAATTAGTTTATATGTCAGTTCAATAAAATACACACCGCACACACATGCAAACACACACACATGCAAACACGCACAAACGCGCACGCGCACACACACACACACACACACACACACACACACACACACACACACACACAGGTACACACACACGCGCACAGAGAGAGAGGGAGAGAGAGAGAGGGAGAGAGAGAGAGAGAGAGAGAGAGAGAGAGAGAGAGAGAGAGAGAGAGAG